TCGGAGGGAAAATGTTATTAAAGCGAAGTCCTAACTGCTTTTCCGCCGTGTTTTTCACTGTTGTAGGCTAACGTTACCAGAAAGAATCCGTTTCTACGGTGAGCAATTGTTTCTGTTGCTTTTCAACTACAAAACTGAGTTTAAAATAATTATCGAATAATAATTATTTGAGACTGTAAATTATTAATGGGATGTTTTAACTCTAGATGTTTATTTGTGTAAATGCTGTGAGTGCGTTGAGCTGTGCGCGAGCTGGGAGCAGAGTTGCCATGGAAACGTCTCTCGCTGCTCTTTTCACTGCTTTCAGGTAAGTTTAGTCCCTAAAATCACACAAATATTACATACAAACGTTCCTGACATGTTTCTTACTTGTAATTGACATGTTTCTACTGAATATTTATTTTATAGAAATGGTTTAGCCTCTTCGAAAAAGTCTATTAACATCTCAACCGTTTTCAGAGGAGGTAACGTTAGGCTAACTCTGTAGATTGAGCTCTTGTTTATGAAACTTTGGGCTTCATATTAACGATTTTATAGATAAAATATGTACACAAACCTGTATTTTAACGAAGAATGTGCTTCGATGGCGCTTAGAACTGCTCTCTCGTGAAGAGAAGACGCAAAATCCCTGCGATTAATAACTCAACCCTGTCTGACCCAGGATCTGAGTAACACAAAAACTACCTGTTAATAAAGAATAACAATTTGGTCCCTCAGTAAATTCTCTTTGCCACCTTGAAGAATTCTCAGTTACTTAAAGTGTAGACAGACGGCCGGGAAGTAAGAAAACACACAGTCAAATGTATCCTCAATACTTCAATTTATTCATAGAAATACAGATATTATATAGGCATATGTCGAGGGGAGTTTCACCCTCTTAACCAATGAGGATATGAATAACATACACGTAGGATCTTTGGCCAAGAACATGTGTTTATATAAAATGGCCACATGTACAGAAAAACATGGACATATTAGGAATAGACTTTTGCGAAGAATGCTGAACTGTCTTCAGAGTTTCATCACGAACCTCATTCCTAGCTATCATGTCCTTATTTAGGACATTTGAACCAAGAGAAGCTAATGTATACATTTAAGCATGCATACCTCACATATAAGTAAGACATATTTAAAACATAATATCAAGAGAGAGAGATGGATACAGAAGGGGGGATTCAGAGAGAATGCGTTGTATATATAGAAGAGTGAGAGAGAGGGAGGAAAAAAGGAGGGGTGAGACATATCTGGAACATTCTCTTAACAAGACAGAGAGTGTTTTCTAACACTACCCAAACATTGGGTTGTTACATTTTACCCAGGAGCTGGGTAACACAAAAACCACCCAAACACTGAAAACATAACCCCCCAAAAATGACCCAAAAGGCTCAACCCAGCATTTGGGTTAAAAAAAAGAACCCATTTGAAGACCGATTGCGGCACAACGAAGACCAGGGTTGCCAGGTTTTCACAACAAAACCCGCCCAATTGCTAAACTAGCCCAATTGTGTTTCGAGGGTGGTCCCCCAGTACTTCTTCTTCTTCGGGTTGTAATGGCAGCTTGCATCCTTAACGTTGCATTACTGCCATCTTCTGGTTCTAATTATTTCCCATATACTTTAGACATCATATTCTTGTCATGAGTCCCGTTTTAGTCAGAAAGCAAATCAAATATTTAATTCCTTGTTCACTCCTACTGCAGTCCATTATAGTCTTTACTCCACGTCCTGTTAGTCCTATTTTCCCATGTCATTTATCATGTCCATCCTCTGTAATTCATATTTTACTCATATGTGCTGGTACCCACATAAATATAACCTCATCACCTTTGCTCTTTATTCTTGAATAGATAGACATAACGTCATAAAAAAGCTCCTGATGATTCTTAACTATGCCGGTCTTGAGACTCTGCAGCACAGAGACAGAGTCGCTGCAAATTAAAGTTCTGTTTACCTTAGAATATTCAATCCATTCTAATGCCATCAAAATGGCAAACAGCTCAAC